ATGGTATGTTTCCCGGTCGATGGTATCCGAAAGGTTTTTCTGCCAAGAGCATGGTATCCAAATGGTTTACCCCAACAGAATAGCGTCAGACGGCGCTCGCCAGTTAATACGGGATTGGCGGCCGCTACAGAATGCGGCATGGGCAGCATAACCACATCTGGCCGTTCAACCGGTATCCGTACTCCTGGCGCTTTGTGGACCTAACTTGCGGCAAGGTCTCTGGATACTTGTGGAATTGCCAAGTACTCGTGCATCCGAGCCAAGAATGGGCGCCACTTTCGGAATGGCTCTCCCTAACCTGTAAAAGGTATAGTGTTGATGGTACTTTCGGAGTGGTGCATATGTGGCCGCTACAAGATACAATATCTATCATGAACCCTCATACAAAAGTTTCCGCCATTATACTATGTCCGATACATTTATGAAGCGCAGTAATTGCTCCTTTCGTAGTGCTCGTAAGACCTTTTGCCATCACTGCGCTATTCTGAGTGTTAGCCTTGAAGTTTAAATTAATCCCAGGCACATACTTACCTTCAGGATCTTTATCTATTCGTCCAATTCAATGATCTAAAATCTTCTTGAGTATTGAGAACATGGTCTCACATATGATATCATTCTCATCAGGCGCCAGCATTTCACCCTATCGTCTGAGTTGCTCAAACAGCGCAGCCACTGCGGTATCTTTTGTGGGTCTCCGGGAGCTATTTCCTAAAGAGGCGCCTATTCTTGGCTCAGACGCACAAGTACTGTACTCGAGTAATGGTTGGCTAGCAGATTTGCCGACAGCGACCGGACATGCAGCTGCCGTTTCTGTGGGTAAGCGCTGGCAATTTGGCGCCCCCCCTCGCGGAGAACTTGAAAACCATTGCCCTCCAAAGAAACCCCCCCCCCAAGACTTGTTGTTGTTTTCCACTATATCTTTGAATCCGCAGTCGAAAAGCATAACTCAAGAAAATCTAAAGCTTGAAGGCCTACCCACCTCAAGAGTAAACACCAGCTTTTTTTTTGTCTTTTACATCTAATAAACAGCAAGTTATCATACCCACACTTTTGCGTTTCCCCTCTTTTTACCGGTAGCCCACAACATTCCTGAGAATCCGAAATGGCAGAGCCCTTCTCCATCGCTGCCAGCGGCATAGCTCTCGTTCACCTCAGCGCGAAGGTTTTCGAACTTTGCTATAACTACTACAATACCGTGAAGGGGAGCCCACAAGATATCAAGAAACTAGGCGACGAGATCAAGAGTATCCATCAACGGCTCGAGGAAATCCGAAGCCTTGCCGCCGGAGACGATGAAAACAACCCACAATACCCTAGCCTTCTCGAATGGGTAAAAAACGAAAGCTTAAAGGATTACATGACCGCCCTGGAGGAGCTGCAGAAAAAGCTAGACGTTCCGGGATGGAAGAAGTCAGTCAGAAAATATGTTTGGCCTATTCGTAAACCTAAAATGGAGCATTACCTGGGCTTGGTCGAAGAGCAGAGATCCAATCTTCAACTCTTATTATCCACAGCCACGACGTAGGTTATCCATTCTCTTATATCCCAAGAATCCACGCCGTTTTTTTAGGTGGCGAGGCTAACTAGTTATCCAGGAAGACGGTGACAAAGGTGTCGCGAGAACAAGATGGTACTTAGTTCCATGATCCCTAACCCTGCCTACAATGTTCTTTACTAAGACCAGATATTTCTAAAACCACAGATAATAAATTGCAGAAAGTACGGAAATGGCTTAACGTGGTTGACCCTAGTGCCAATTTCTCACTCGCACTTAATCTTCGTGAACGCGGTACGGGTAATTGGCTGCTCCAGGGACACCAGTACAGAGATTGGAAGGAAGGCAGGGGGGGAGTACTCTGGCTTCACGGTATACGTAAGTCTACAGACGGGTGAAATCCCATGTTCCAAAGAATATCATTAACATTTGTGCCTTATAGCCGGATGTGGCAAGAGTGTCCTAAGGTGCGAACTTCACGGGGTATCCGGGAGTGCAATGCGATTTCCTAATTGCTAATTCTCTCTTTAGCGCTACCGCCATTGAAGATGTCCAGCATCTATGTAGCACGAACGATAAGCACGCATTAGCCTACTTCTACTTTTCCTTCACCGACTCGGAGAAGCAGAATCTTCTTAATATGCTCCTGTCTGTCGTTGGCCAACTACTAGAAGGGATTTCAGGCCGGGATTTCCCTGATGAGGTCCTGGACTTATATCGCAATTCCAAGGAAATTGGAAAGTCAACAGATATCAAGGCTCTGAAATTAGTATTTTCACACATGATAAAGCCTTCCAAAAAGACATTTATCATTCTTGACGCGTTGGATGAATTTCCCGAGGAAACAAGGGAGAGTCTCCTATCCTGGATCCGCGAACTTACCGTTGGTCACGACCCAGGATCGCTTTCCATTCTTATGACCAGCCGTCCCGAGGGTGACATAGTAAAATTCCTCAACCCAATTACCACTTTTTCAATATCGCTACAATCCAAGACCATCGATCCGGATATCCGGTCATATATACAGAACTCCCTGGGCGATAAGGATGGTCTCAAGGATTTTACCAAAGAAATTAAGAGTGAGATAGAGGACACACTCGTTTCTCGTTCACAAGGAATGTATGTTATATTCAACCTCTAGATCTTTAACTTACGCTGACAAAAGGTCGAATATCTGAAGGTTCCGATGGGTGGATTGTCTTTTGCGGATTCTACAAAAATGCATAACACCAGCAGCTGTGAGAGCTGCCTTGCGGGAACTGCCGAAAGACTTGGATTCTGTCTACTTGAGGATCCTCAACAGCATTCACGAGACGCAGAGGGAATATATTCGGCTAGCGATGCATTGGCTTGCATTTTCAGCAGAACCATTGACGTTAGGCCAGCTTGCGGAGGCCATTGTGATAGCATACGATGTCAACAAATATGGCGAGGATTCGGAACCTCTTTTCAATATGAAGTCCCTCATCAGCATTTGCCCAAGCCTTATTTCATTCGAAGACGCCAGGGACGATGAGTCTTCTAGCCAGGAAAAGCGCCGATTACGACTAGCTCATTTCTCGGTAAAAGAATATTTGATCTCCGAACGGGCTGCGCAAGGCCCCAGTGCCTACTATCATATTGCGGAGGAGAAAGCCAATCTACTGATGGGGCACGCTTGTCTCAGTCGAATACTGCGACATAGTGCACAAGGTACGATTAGTGGGAACAAAGTCGAAAAAAAGTCGTTTCTCTACCACAGTGCTCGCTATTGGTTCGTCTACATCAGATCCACTGAGGATACAGCACCCACACCACTCTCCGACGCGGCGGTGAAGGTCCTCGAGCTTGGCAAGGAGTGGTTAGATATGTATAACCCTGATGACCCTCATCGTTTTCGTACCTACCACTCCGGGATTTACCCACCGGCAATCTACTATTCCTCCTTGTTAAATTTAGTGACGGCCTGTAAATTCCTTGTCAATAGAAAAGTGGATACAGTAAATGTGAATACTCAGGGTAGCGAGTACGGGAACCCACTACAAGCAGCTGCATATCAGGGAAACGAATCG